CTGGAAGACTGTGTGCAAAATACGACCTCCTGGCATGGCATAAGAGAGATTATTTCGAAAAGCTCTTACGCTTTCATTATCTTCGGTGAGTAAACCAGTGTTGGGAAAGGTATATATGCAAGGGCTGTTCACATGTCACTGTGGCAAATAATGGGTTAATAAATTCACAGTTTGGAGGGAGGTACACTGTGTGTGAGTTGCTTCCAAGTTGTTGGACTAAAAACACCCACTTTCCTAGGTTGATAGTGTGATGTCCAAACTTGGGCACTTTGGGGTGTTTGTGGGTTAAATAACCCAAAGTTAATCTAAGAACAGTCTTAAATTAACTTTAGAGCATTTAGTTTATTAATTACCCAAAATGGATGCCATGCTAAGGCATTTGTTAGTTATTGCAGAAAACCTGAAGTTGCTTGCACATGATACAATTTCCCACAAATTATGAATTAATTAATTATGTGCAGACTAGATTGTATTCTTTCTTTCTCAAATGTGTTCAAGCTGTATCAATTTTTTCTATCAAAACTCTTAATTCCTAGATAATGCAATGTGTCAATAATTATTATATTTTAATCCACTCAGTAGCTAATGTTCTCTGTGTGGTTTTTAATCAGTTAAAGGGTTAAAATACAGTGCAACTACAGCACCCTAAATAAATATAAACACAAATATAAGAATAACTATCCTTTAGTGAATTGTAAGCTAAGAAAAGATTAGGGAAGTGGCATATTATTGCCACTAATGAAGTTCATTTCTCTGATGAACTTCATGTTTGTTTATTAATCACCAGCAATATGTGTATGGGACATTTGATTTTGCCCCTACTAAAAATTCCCATCATGGGCACTGTCATGGGTACTTGCAAGGTCCCAACAAATGCAGGGCAGAGTTAGTTAGAAAATCAATTTCCCAACTCCTGTTCCTGAAGAGCTTCTCCTCTTCGAGAGATGTATGGATGGCATCTTTAATATCTAGACTCATGGACAGGAGCTATTTGTAAAGTTCTAGCAGTTCTTCTTTAAGTTTTATGCCTGAGCCTGAGCCTGTTCATGCAACAAGTTCACTTTCTGGACACCACTGTGACCTAAAGGACATAAAGACACTGCCATTAATGGAAATATAAATATAAATGGAAATAAAATATAAGTTTGGTGGCTGCAGCAGCGGCAGGCACTCCAGTCCCCATTTTCTGCTGAGTTTCCTGCTGCAGTAGTGCTCTGATTATTTATTTCGTTAGTTATTAAAGCTTCCCTAACCCATCGCCCACTAGCGTCTGGGGGCGGCTTGCAACCCAGCTGTCTCCACACTCCCTTTCTTCCATTTGGACACCTCTCCAGTGCCCGCTTAGCCGCTGTGAAGTCCCACCACCGCAGTGTCTCGCTCCTGGGGAGGTCCCATCACCGTGGCAGGGCATCATGCAGCCAGGTGAGGGCAGGGCGGAAGGGGGTCGCTCAGGCAGCAGGGCCCGCGGGGGAGTCCCGCCCGCTCACTGCGCTGGGCTGGATCGGCGCTCCGGGCGAGAGAAGTCCCATGGCTGTCCTGTCCCGGAAGCGAGTGGGCTGCTCATGTGATGGCCGCCCTCCGCTTGAGGAGCGTGTGGGCTGTGCGTGAGCGTCGCCGCAGAGGCTGTTCCCTGAACAGCCCATGCCCCCCCCGCCGTCCCTTCCCCTGGCCCACACAGGCATTCCTGAGAAAGTGTGCCCAATGGGGCGCTCTCCCTCTGTCCCCAGTCCCAGCGCCTGTGCTGCTGCCTTCCACATGCTGGGCTGCTGGGAGGGAGGCAGCCCCAGCGGCGGGTGCGAATCCCGCACGTGGCGGAGGCAGAGTGTCAGGCGCACGTCAGGCACGGCAGAGGGAGCGGCATGCGGGTGGGTGCTGATGTAAGCAATTTCATACCATAAAAATGGAGTAGCGTTTAACATGCCCCAAGATTCTTCGTTGGTTTTTTTTTCTGCAACAGGCTTGTGATTATCCCTGGGGAAAGATGTTTATTAATGCTTGGCATCTTTTAAACAGAATATATTTAGCATTTTGTCATGCTTTTCATAGTTGTAAAGTTGAGATTGATAGCAAAAAGTATTTTAATGCCTTTTCCCCTTCAGCTTTAGGATAGAGCAGATCAAAACTGTGAATACTGTATTATCTTCCATTTTTAATGCTGGTATGCATTTGTAAGTATTCTTTCTGACTATTAAGCATCTTAGGACATGTCCATTTACAGTCTGAATTCCTACTGTCCCCAGGCCTGCAATTCTATCCCGTCAATTTGGGAACAATTCCCATTTAACTCTCTTCCCCTTCTGAGTAGAATAGGATTGTGCTCAGGAGTGAATGTGGTTTCACAGAGGTAGTATCTGCAGTGTGTAGTAGGTTGGAGAAGTCTGTTCCGGTGTATATTTTCAGTTGTTTTGTTTTGTTTTGTTTGCTGCAAGAGCACAATATCAGCACTTTCATTTTAAAACTGCTACACTTGCAGAAGGGAAGGAGAAGAAATCCCTGACTTCTGAAGAATAAATCGTAATTCACTAAGCACGTAAACTGCAAGAGTAAAAAAAAATGGCACAGCTGATACTTTATTCGTTCTGCTTTTCACAGATCTTTTGATACAGAATACTTGGGATACTCCTTATGCTTTGCACTGCCTATGGAAGATCAATTAACCTTTGTGTTTAAACTGCAAATTGACTAGTTTTTACTTAGTATCTTGATTTATTTGTTATGATATAGCAATTTCGGTATCCAGCCACCGGATAACTTGTACTTTTATTGTTAAACAGTAAGCTTAATTCTATCTATCATGATCTGGGAATTTTTTCTGTTGCATTATGAAAAATCAAAGTTGAGAGCATTCTTCTCACAAGTGTATAGTTTGCTAGAACTTTAACTTTTTGTGGTCTCTCTGTGCCTTTCTGTGGACAAGCAATCTAAATATATGTAATTAAGGAGTGCCAAAACATTTGAAAATGAGCCAAACTAAGTAGCAAGGGAAGTACCATATTTGCACTGCTGAAATCTAAATGTTATGGTTATGGGTATTTTCAAGTTAGCTTTTAGGCTGAATTACAAATAGGGTTTGTCCCTTGCTTTGGAAATTTTCATTTTGAAGAGCAGGATATAAATAAAATAAATAGATGTTGCTGTATGTGTTTGCTGTGTGTGTACATTGCTTTGGACTAACTTAAGCAGCCTGTTTTCAAATCGGTCCATAGTCTAGAAATGAAGAGCTGTCCCCAACTGCAGGAAAACAAATGAACAGTTGGGTGTGTTTTTACATCCTTCTTCCTAGTTTTGGGTGGTTCACGTGCCAGAGTGTGGAACAGTTCCTTGTAAGAGTCTGAGCAATTGCTAAAACATTTTCTGTTTACTAGTTTGGATTGTATCTGGTTCAGTATTTGTTTTAATTCGTTCAACTTTTTTCTCTTTACCTTTCTTTTTAAAAACTTTGGGCTGAATCCCAATTATCTCTGCTAAAAATTTTTATGCCACACCAATTCTAATCTGCACGTGGCATCCACTGCTTGCAGAACTAAGATTTAGCACTTCCAGGCCAAGTGTACCATAATATCACTTGAGTATGTAATCAGTCATATGCCTGCAGTGGCCACAAATCGATTGTTTTATTGAAAATGGTCACGGTGATGCACAGCACTATTGGTGCAGTTTAGACATCACCATGGTTTGTGCCAACTATTCCTTAAAAACCAAACCATAATTGAAGCCTTCAAATGCAAAACAGGTAAACTGTGGTTTAGCATTGCTTCTTTACTTTTGCTTTCCATCCTTTCAGCACTCAGCTTCAGAATTTCACTCTTGTCAACCTGGTGTGATGGCTTTTGAAATTGGAGGGATGATTGGACCATTCCCTTTTCAGCTCAGACATCCCGTCAGGCGCTTCCTTCAGACTCTGGTTCACCTGCCAATTGCAAGCGATGGTTTATCAATTCAGATAGCACAAGCCATGTCACATCTAATCTTCATTTAACTGTGCTTCATGTGATGTCTGAAACAGCCATGCTCTCTCCCTTGCAAGCATCTCTTCCAGAAAGTTCATTTAGGTGCTTATCACACAGTGGCAATACTGGGGCTTTTCTTTGGAATCTGTATCAGCGCCTTTTGCAGCTTAATATGAGGTTCTTTGCAATAGGAATTTTGCTTCGCCATTAAGGAGAAGAGTTTAGCCTACAGGGGGTCAGTCTGTTAGCTCTTGGCGGCTTTTTGTGTGCCCCAAGGAGCCCTGCCAACTTTCCTTGTTGCCCAGATGATCAACCAGCAGGGATCCAAATCGCTGTTTCTCTGCTGGAACAGGAATGAACAGAATTGCTTGCAGGTGATGAGGGGAAATTGCTCTTCTCTTCATAGTGATCCTAACACAGACAAGATAGCTAGTGTGCAGGACACTGTAATCTCACCCCCCCCCACACACACACACACACCGATCCCAAAATGATTACAGTAATCTTGATTAGGGTCACTGAGAGCTGAGAGGATTTAACCTCAGCCTCCCCCTCCACTCCCCGTGACCCTGAATACATGATCACTGCTTCTCGACTGCTACTGGGGAGAAGACACGTCTGATCAGGGTTGGTGGAGAGAGGGTTTAATCTTGCCCCACCCCAACCAATCCTGATAAAAGGTTGTCTTGAGGAAATACTACTTTTTGAAAAGCAGCTAAGGATTTTTTAAAATGAATACATGAAGAGAAAATATTACACATTGTATTTGTATGTATTATGAGGAAATAAATAAAGGTTTTCCCTGTTGGCTGTAATTGATACATGTTGGTTCATTACATTCTTTGTGGAAGGTTGGTTTGCCCTATATAGTTTAATTGATCTGTGAATCAGGGTGCACAACCAGAAATAAACTACTTGCATTCAGAACACTCAAAATGTGTAGTACTCAAGAGCATTGAAATAGTTGAATTGTTGGGGAAACTGGCTTCTTGTGGAGTTTGTATGTGTTGCTCAGTAACAGTACACAATCCCCATTTTATTTCTTCTTAGGGAGGAAGATAAGAATATATTTGACTACTGCAGAGAAAACAACATTGACCATGTAACCAAAGCCATCCGATCAAAAAAAGTGGATGTGAATACGAAAGATGAGAAGGTATCGGGCTGGGAAGGGATTAATCAGTCTTAAGGGCGGGTATGTCAAATTAATGTCCCCTCATTTCTCTAATCCTTCCTTGCAGCTGCTCTATCTCTGTTTCACTGTGTTTGACTAGACATCTGTTTATGACAGAAGAATTGTCCAGCTTCGCAACTCCTAAGCAATAAGTTCCTGATATGTGGTTGGGATTTGGCTTTTGAATTGGATAACAGTTCCACTTGGCATAAAATATTCTGGAGTTTAAAGCAGAAAAGCTTAATGGCCTCTATCCTTCTGTTAATTAACATGAGGTCTAATTCAGTGACAAATTCTCTTGCACAAGCCTAGTTGAAATGAGTAATAGTTGTGCAAGTATCCATTCATTTTAATGGGGCTGGTGTCAGGGAACTTTCTGCTGGATTAGTCCTGTGGATTCCTCCTGGATTATCTGTCTGGTGCCCACGTTGTCCCTTTAAATGGCACCCTCGTCTGTCCAGGGTATCTATTTCACTGTGCCTCGTTGTCGAACAGGAGTGGGCAACTTGTGACCCTCCAGATGTTTTGGCCTACACCTCCCCAGAACCCTCATCATTTGCTATACTGGTGATGTGTGATGGGAGTGGTACATTAAAGCTGCTGGAGGACCACAGGCCGCCCAGTCTTGTTAGAGAGCCATCTCTGGTGACGGTGGTGATGATAGTAGCCTTAACTTACACAATTTGCTCTAATTCATGGAATTCCTAATAAGGCTTTTTCCATTGGCAGTACTTACAGATATGAAAAGCTCATTCTAATGCACCTTATTTGGAGTCCATCTCCTCACTTCTGTATCTGTGCAGCAGATACTGAGATCTCTTGACTTTTGGTCTTGAGGAAAACATTTGTCAATATGAATTTGTTGGTGTTTCTAAAACCAGGTGGAACCTGCTCACAAAAATGACTTGTGTTCTGCTGGTATCTAGGTAGGTCTTGAACAGTAACTATGTTACTGGTACGACATTTTAAATTACTTTTAGAAATGATTGGATAGCAGCTAAATTAGTGACACTAAAGTGCATTTCTACTTTCAGAACTAGAACGTTTCTTTTACTTTTCACCTAAGGAAGTACTAGGGCAAAATAAACAGCAGTTTTTCCGTGGAAACCTGATGGCCTTGCAAGTTGAAATAATGCAGATTTTTGTGGACTTTGCCTTCGTGTCCTCATTCCCAATTTGCTTGGTGTAACTTGGTCAAAGGGATCCAGCTCTGATGCCAAGATTTTTCATAGCACTGGGGTTTTAAGAAGTAAATGCTTAATCTTGCCATCTATGCACACTTTTCCTAGGCTTTCTGTACGTTGAAACTCACCTAAACAGGAAGATAAAACTAGATAGAATGCTTGTAAGTTCTTAGTTGCCTGCAATACTTGGTGCAGGGGAGGAAGCGTATTTAAGTTTGCACTAATAACTCCATTGCAATGTTGGGAGAGAATATTTCGAATTCTAAATATTGCAAAGTCTCCCTTTTAAATACACGAGAGCCTCTGGAAAAAGCAAATATACAAGGTGTGTGTGGTCAGGCAAAGTAAAACCTGTTGGCTTCTGCCGTTGTGCACTTCCAGCTTGCCCTGCCCTTGGCCTGCATTGCCCGTGGCCTCTCAGCACATTGTGTTGCAGTGAACAGATGAAGTGCTTACACATTCATAGACTGAGACGCCACAAATTCAGTTGGGTTCTGTTGTAGCTCTAAGCAGATTTCTGCCCTTTGAGCCATGACATTTCCTGCTGGAGTCCTGAATGCTGATGGCATGGCCTTTTATTATTAATCAGGAACTCATATGAATTAATTTGGTGAAAGCAGGGGGAGGGAGTTTAAAATTCAAGGCTGGAAACCTTCCTACTCGATGAAGTGAACTGAAACATCTGTATGCTACTTAAGAGCTTCTGCAGTGACATTGTTCAGCTCTGTCAGTACTGCTGGAACACACAGATTTTTAGCCGCAGCGGATACACGTGTATAAATTGCAAGTCAAGAATGGGGGCTTGTGGTCAGTGTTAACTGTCTGTTCTGCAGTAATGAACAAGGAATGCAGGTCTCTTTCCAGGCTACTGCTGGGTGCACATGTCCTTCCAGCGCACCTGCTTCTGGGAAGAAGCATTCTCTTGTTAATGCATTCACTGCAAGGCCCACCCTTACCAGAGATGGAATTATCAGTCTCCAGCATTGACACTTCATTATTTCTCAAATCTTTTGCTTCCCCTCTTCCTTCCCTTTCCCCTTCTGGATTGTCACATGGTCTTTTTCTCAGCCTCAATAAATTTTCACTGTCAGACTGGTTGCACTGTTGTAACCTACTTTTGCCTCTCTTCCGCCCATCCATTTTCCAGCCAGACCCTAACCCTAACAGGCAGTATCTAAGCTCGCCAGTGCCCCAGAGGGAGCCGCTGCTCGTGCAACTAGTGTTTCTAGAAACAATGCAGAATGAGCAGAGATGCTTGCTTCTGGAAGGGGGCAGGTCAGCAGAACTTGTGGAAGAAAGCTTTGTTGACCTGTCCCAATCTGGAATTGAGTGTTTTTCCTTGTTTCAGGCTGCTTTTTGAACTATTAGCTTCACATTGTACTAGTGGTGGAACAGATCAAGCAGGGTGCGGTGGCAGTATCCGATACTGGCCAATGGCTGTACATGGAGGCATCTTGTATATTCGATTGTCTTAAATACGCAGAAGTAAAGTTCAACATGCACCTGTAAAGTTAGGGGCAAAATACTGGGGATACCGATAAGAAAAATTGTAACATTTTTGGAAACTTGAAATGCATTGGAACAGGTTTGTTTCCCAAAGTAGTTTCTGGAAATTTTAGAAATTTTAGTGTAGTGCTATACATACTTACTTTGGGGTTGTTCTCTTTGAACTCGGTGGCACTTTTTCTGAATAGTCCTACATAGCTTCATGTTTAGTATAACTTAATTATTACATGAAATTATGCTGTTCGGTATATTTATAAAGTCTAAAAGTCTAAAATCAAAGAGTAAAAAAAATGACTTTTGAAAGTCAAAAAAAGTCAAAAAATTGACTAAATATAGTCAGATATTTTAGTCAAAATATAACAACAGATATACCAGTGTAAGAGATGCATCTGCTGTATCCTAGTGTATCAACTGTCTTTTAATTTCAATGGTTATGAAAATCAGAGAGAGAGAAAGAGAGATCAAAAAATAACATTCTTATAATGTATTTTAATAGTAATGCATTTTCATATTTAACTTTTTAACATTTAACTTGTATACAGTATTCAGTTTTTCACATGCCCCCTTTCTGTCACACTGATTTAGAAGGCTAAGTAATCTAGGACAAATTGGAACCAAGTGTGCTTGGAGTCTGCCACTGTGTTTCAGGTGCAGTGTATTCGACAGACTTCAACTGCTTGTCTGGACCACGTATTTGAGGATATTTGAGAGTGCTTCCTCAATATCAGGTCCTAAGAGTATTGTTTAATTAGCGATCCTATCAGAGTTAGGAGCAATGCTATCATCAGTACTGTTCCACTTGTAACTTGACTGTAAGATATTTACAACAGTTTGACGTATTTTATTAGGCTGCTTTAGAAAGCATTTTTTCTCACTGCATTGAAAGAAAGTGTTCCATAAGAAAGGCTTCCCTTTCTTCCTATGAGTTCTCATTTTTTAGAACAGGAGCAGAGACAAAAAGGTAGTTTTCTGTTCCCCCTTTGTGCCCCTCACTGTCTTCCATGGGCATTTACATTGCTACTGGCAATAGAGATGTATCTGTGGGGAGCTCAAGTGGTCCCCTCGAGATACCAGCTAACACCAGAAAAATCCTCCTGTTGGGTGCATCAAGGTTATTGTATTTGAAATGACAGCAGCAAATACAATTTTTCTATTGAATGAGACTTTCATTTATCTTAGCTGTGCCTTCTCTTTCTATCTGAGTTAAGATCAGTTCCTCCGTGTCTTATCTTGATGCACATGCATGTTTGAAGAGGGACAGTCCTGTTCCCAGCATCCCCACTTGCTTTGTTTGCAACTAAACCTGTGACATGCAGCAAAGGAAAATTTATGTGCTGCTCACTTGAGAAACTGTTGCAGAAGCTGGCCAAGCTGGCAGCAGCTAACCAAAGTGAGGTATAGAAGATTTAATAGGCAGGGTCATTGTACTGGGATTAGATTTATGCATTTTTATTCCAGATCTTTGAGAGCTTAAGAAGTACTCTCATTCTTCTGCAGCTAAAACGTGTTCTCCATGGGCAAAAGAACAAAACAGTAATGGACATCCTGGATATATTTTGAGCAGGGCTGCATGTCTGGTGCAATTTCATGAAGAGAAGAACATCAGCAGAAATCACCTTCCTGTGAATCACTATCTTTGCGGTTTTCTAAAAAAAGCACGTTTCTAGCATTATGGCTTTGGAAATATGCTTGAAACAATGATTCAGTTCACATGAATTGCCAGGAACAAGTAGACAGCCTCACCTGTGTTTTAACAGTCTATGATCAGTCTAGTCAGCATTTCTTGAGAGGGATGTGCAAAACCCAGAACACTGGGCTGTTCAGGGGCTAAGCCACCCAGCAGTTAACCCACCAACAAACCATGAATTGACTGCTGGGTTCTTTAAACCTTAAACCCATTGTGGTGGATTTTCATGTCACACTGAACAACCTGTGGCCCGGATACAAGTGTGGTGTACTGGTTAAAAATGTGGGACTGGGACTCAGGCAATCTGGGTTCCAGTCCCTGCTCAGCCATGCAGCCAACTGGGTGGCTTTGCGCCAGTCACAGACTATCAGCCCAACCTACCTACCTCACAAAATTGTTGTTGCGGGGAAGAGAACAAGAGCAGCAGAAGGATGTCAGCAACTTTGAGTTCATGGGCGGGGGAAGTGGGATATAAATTGAATAAGTGGAAGTGGCTGACATTCTGCAGCAGATTGTGTGACAAGACTGACTTTGGAGCTGGTGGAGAGGGAAGGAGTGAAGCTCTGTTGGGATACATGGCAGTCTTCTCCCCCTCCTTTCAGGCA